ATTGACGAAAATTAGAACATGCTCTAATTCGTCAAGAACTTGATGAATAAATTCATGAAGTTATTTGACAGCAGATTTGGTGCATTACACTTGTCCAATTTCTTGATGAAGCGACTTCATGAATTAATAGATCAATAAATTGTCAATGTAAAACAGCTATTAAAAATATAAGTCAAGACGAAACAAATGAGCCCTCATAAGGCCCTTTATTATAACGCTAACAACCGCGTTTATGCAATTGAAAAATGATATTTCTAATAAACAAATGCAAAAACTCGTAAACAAATAATATACGATTTATGCTCTTTACAGCAAATTCAAATTTCGCTGGTTTTTTGCAATTATTTAAACAAATTGTTAATGGATTTTAATTTAGCAGGTCTCAAATGAAGCGTTTTTGAAAACCTATAGTATAAACAAAAGCAAAAACTCCTATTGGAGAGCGCTTTTTAATAATAAAACTCAATTTTTGGTCATTTTTACATTATAATCATTGTTTAAACAATAATCATGTTGTTTTAAACCGATACTTTTTGGGAAATATTATTTCCTTTTGCCTAAACTAACGATTAAACCAAGTTTCAATCTGAAACGAAGTACCTTTTGATTTACATGTATTACAAATTTCATTTACTGGGCTATTAAAGAAAGGAGATAAAATGTAAACACATCCTAGAGCTTTATGCAAGATTGCCATATTTACTTTATTTAAAGGTAATCTTGGAGAAATTGCAAATTGTCCAAGAAAAAGTAGCAATGCTGTAATTACTACATTTTTTAGTGTACATGGATGCAAATCTAACGGTGTTAGACATTTAGCTATTTAACTAAACATTTAAGACCTACATCCTTTCTTTTAAATTTGGAGATGAAAAATAATATATGTACCTAATAAAAATATATAATTTAATAAAAAAAAAAACGAAACAAATATATTTTCCAATTTTAAAAAGACACCTCAATTTACGTTAACGATGTTCAGTGCTGCTAATGTTTTCCACTGGTCCACTTTAGACTCTATATCTTCTATTATTCACAAATAGCTAAAACAATTATGCAAATAGATAAAAGCTACCAATAACATCAACGTGTTAATGATGTACAAAATAATATGAATTCGAACAAATTATAAGGTTATGTTTTGTCTGCCTTATTTTCTAAAAATGGAGGTGGTAAATGGGAAAAATGGTAAACAAGCGAATTTTTCGTTTGAATCACCAATAGAAAACCCCATTTATTGGACCCTTATCTAACGAAAGACAAGCCTTACTCTTAAAGTGTAAACATGATCAACAGTACCAAATCCGTTTAAATGTCGCAACCCTGTAGGTTTGAGTTGCATATGACCACATACCTATACTGATATTGCATAAGACTGGTCGTCATCTGACTCTCGGGATGTATGACTTTTTCTCTTCGTATCGATATAGCCACGGGTCCGAGCTGCTCGTCCATCCCAAACCAGTTCTGGTGCTCTGAAAGGAAATGGTAACGGATATACATCGATGCTGTAACATGCTCGGAAACATTGACATTGATTCTGCTCCGAGTCGAGTAAAAGTTATTTTTGTATAAATCATGCCGTCGAGTTCAGGATTCGGTATAAATAGCGACAGCAAGGAAACGTCATTAACACATGGTTGGATATTTGAAAAAGCATAGCGTTCTGTATCTAATCTACTAAATCTAAAAAGGTATAAATTTAATTCTTTCTATATTTATGGACATTGATTTTGAGGACTTTTCATTCTTATGTTGCAACACAACTATAAATTGCGATACATTTTGGTATTTGTGTATATGTACGTACACAAACCAAGAATAATTTGAAAAATAACAGTTACATTCACTAAACGTTCGTCATTACTGAATTGAATATTACTCATAGGCGCCGTTAACCTGCAACGCAAGGGGAGGAGGGCAAATTATAAATATCAGAATATATTAGCAGTGCTTTATTTAACTGAGATCTCAGCTTCCCCTCCTCTGCCCTCCACCAAACAGCGCACATGTATCGATAATGAATAATTAAATATTATACGCGGTATTTCTTAGTAGTAGTAGCATTGGTTTTAAATAGAATTGTAATTGATTTTATAATTTACCTGCATATCCAATGCATGTTGAAAATTCAGGAGTGTATTCTTTGACAGATTTTGAGAAACGAAAGTTCCCACAAGTGTCAGCTTTTTCTTCGTTTTTGGAAAGACAATTAGAAATTGATATATCTAATTTGTGTAGATTATAAGGGTATGAAGTAAGTACAACAAAATGATGTCTAACTAGCCATGGGTCAGTGAACGTGCTTATAGAAATGGCATTCCTTTTTCTAATGTTCTATGAGCATTCATTTTTTAAAGATATCCATTGGATTTTTGAACTATCCTCCATATAAACTGTTTTTGTAGACGTCTTAAAGTTGGTAAATTTTAAGTAAAAAGGAAAACCGAATTGCTGTTTCAAAAAAACAATATTCTTTATTAGAAGAATAGTATTTTAGGAACTAGGTCTGAATGAAATTTTTTATTCTTTTGGGGGTAAAATTGATTATGAATGTTTAGAAGTAATGTAATTTCTTCCAGTGGACTTGAACGCTTTACCTTAGAAAATAATATTTTATTTTAAACTTCTTATGTTTATCATTAGATACATTTTCTGAACTTTACACGCATCTTGAATACACAGAAAATCTCGTACGGAACTATACACACAATCACATCCCCCAATCCTTGTTTTTCAACATTTTTATTATATAGATCTCTTGTTCTATCATTGTCTTACTAAATGAGCATTTAAAAAAGGATCATAATATACCAAACGCCACTGCACTGGTCCGTAGAACGAAATATTAGTCGAAGTTCTTTGAAAGAATTTGATATTTTATGTGCGATTTAAAACGTAAAAGAACGCACTGCATCTCAGAAACGAAGAACTTGCAGACTTACTACCTAGTACCTAACATATGAAATTTTTTCTCAAAATTATCAAAGAATATATCCTTCAATTTTCCGCACGTACTTAGGAAACAACCCGCAGTTTCATAACAAAAAAAAAGTTTTGTTAACTAAACATCCTAGAAGAAGAAAGTATGTACGTAATATAAAACATGTTTTTCTTTAAATGAAAAACTTGACCCAAAATGAGGTCTTAAAATAATATTGAATAGAATATTCTTAAACCTTGTGGAATGTGATTTTTAGTAGTAGGAATATTGCTGGTATATTCAGTTTTATGTTGAGGGCAAATACAAGTTTCCTTAAAAGGAGGCACCTTATTTTCATGTATTTTGGGTGACCCGGGAAATGAAGAAGTTGGACATCCATGTAATGAATGAGGAAAAAAAAATGTTTTATTTATATTCAGAAATGTGCTGCAGGCCACATCTAATTATTATCATGGGACATTCATACATGTGCGATTTGAAACTGAAATAAAAAGACGCAGAGAAAACATTTACGAAAAATATTCAAAATTCAAGAAAGATTTACCTGTTTTCTTCAATTTGAAAATGTTTCATAAGTTCGACAATAGATACAGTGCTTACCTAACTGTCTCAAATCATGTAATTCTCTTTCAGTACGAATACTTTGCTCTAAAAAGACATACATACAAGGTGATTCAGTCATAATGTCATTAATTTTAAGGGAAAATGGGGGAAAACGAGTAGAATACGAGTATGCGATTAAAAATAAATTTGAAATTCATAGTTACACTGAAAGAAAATATTTTCAAATCATTATTTAAGCTCGTTTTGGGACAGCTCCTGGTCGCTGACCCACAAAGGTTATCGAAAGTGAAGCTTTCTCTACCGTATTATTGGGTCACTAACCTACTTTTTACTGGGTTTTTAATGGATAGAAAGACAAGAACCACACAGAACACAAGAAACAGACAGATCTTTTTACCCAGACACATGAATGAATAAGATATTCTCTTACATTTTAATTATTATTTATTTGTTAATAAAAACTAGTTTAAGGATAATATGTAATTGTTTTCGAATGTTAGGTTATTACAATTTAGTATTTTTAATATTTTTAACGTTTTCACTATGTTTTGAATATGAGTTTTTAGTTTAGTGCTCAATTAATTATTCAGTTTGTAGTATGTACACCTAGTGACTTATTGCTTTTCAGAGTCTGTCCATAGCACTTTATTAATAAATTTGGGATTTGCTGCACTTTGATTTTGAAACCAATTGCAAAATTCAAGACGACTGGGGAAATCAGCTGTTTTGCTTCAACGTTCGAACGGTCTTGTTCCGCCGGCGAGTTCTCGGTCAGAAAATGTGATGGGAAGTAGGACGCTGAATTAGCGGGAGTTAAGGGGTAATTTGCTTATCTTTTAAAAGGTCGAGTAAAAACTTTTTTCGATTTCCTGTCTTTATTAGGCCTTCCGAATACGTGATTAAAATTAATGACGTTATGACTGACTTACCCTGTATAGGTATATACAATCGTACTCGAAACATAATAGTGCCTTGAAAATGTCGTTAAGATTCCTTTTTATGGGAAAATTGTTGAATTACCATTAGGAACTGCTACTAAATTAATTTCTACTACACAAGTTCGATGGCATAGCGGAAAAAAATTCTTGAAACTTGTAGTTGAAGAGCACATGAAATATTGTTCCTCGTTCTTCAAAACATAGTGTTGAAACAATTTACCGATACACGCATATGTTTCATTCATTTTCTTCACACCACTGGTCTTTTTAATCGTCCAAACTCAACTAATTTTCGAAACAAATTACATACGTTTGACGTATTGCATGAAACATGCACATAAATCAAATTATGTTTCTTGGTTCAAAAATGCGAGTCTGTGCCGCCTCATTTGAATACACGGCTTATACGTTAGTGAAACAAGTTTCCTGTTTTATGCAACATTTGTTCCTACAATGTGTTATCGACTTAAGGACTAAGAAGGTAAGATAGGCCAGGAAAAAGAGCTGAGAAATGACCATTTCGCGACTTTTTGTTTCGGCAAACTGTCAAACTTGACGGCCTATTGTTAAATAAATTAGGTTGGTAAAGGCAAAAAAAAACCGGCAACCCGAGTACTTACCCAGATAAAAATATTTTGTGGAAGTATGTTAAGTGTATAAGAAATATTGTTAAAAGTCAGGACAGCGAGTCCAAAGAAAATGACAATAATATTCACAGTCTTGCGGTTAAAAAAGCGAAATTTGCTTGAAAATAATAGCTTTCCGAATATGTAATAATATATAACTATATCACGAGCGTGCGTCGTATATTTCATTTTGCAACTAAGGGTAAAAAATAAAAAAAATTCCAGGTTGCAAATTTGAAATTAAAAAAAAATAATAGATTTCAATGTATTATTATGAAATCTACCATGAAAAAAAATCAGTGCGATTGTGGAAGATGCTCAGGATCGTCCAGACTAATAGTTAATTAATTAATTTGTTTACAAGGCTTGTAAACTATTCAACTTACCGATTCCAGATTTCGTGTGAGTTATTAGACAGTGATAAGGAAAGAGACGATGCGATTCCAAAACGTTCTGGTAATAATAAAGTAGTTTATAAATGTTGAATTCAAAAGTCATAAATAAACTTCTTCTCTTTATAACTTTTGATCTAATCAATATTTTTTGACGCTGGAGCCCTAGTTTTGTAGGTCTTTTGAAGACGAAAAAAAAGTACTGTACTGTTTTCTCGTGGAAATGAACAGAAAAAAGTTATAAGCGAGAAACCCTACAAACAATCTTCCCCCCCCCCCATTTTTACGAGTGTGGAAACTAATATGTTATTGTACATAATATTTAGCATCTATAGTATCTACTTAAACCTCATATTATGTGTTACATGTTGTTTGTTTGTTGATTAATTTTATTGAATAATTCTATGTATATATTTCTTCTTATTACTATGATTTAAATATGTACCTACACCCCAGACAAGCTTGCTTATGGGGATTATGTTTATTTACTGCTTATTTCCTTTATATAATGTATTGTAGCGTTTATATAGGTAAATAAACATATTATTATTATTAATATTTTATAGTGATAAATTCAGCTTGCCGAAACAAAAAGTCGCGTCCAACTCTATATTTCCTGGCCTAAAGAATATAACTGGCTTCAAAACGTTAAGAAAAAAAATTATTTTATAAAAAAAAACATTCGATCCCTCTTTAATTAACGAGGCTAAAAATACAGTCATCTGGTTTTAATGAAAAAATGAATGAACGAACAATCACTTGCTTTAGATAAATACATCTTTAGAATCGACTAATTAGAACCAGTTCATGTTACTTTGCTAATGATTGAAGATAGGCCGTTATAACTAATAGTACCTACATAATGCAATATTTCCTATATTGCTATTTATTTCCTTCTATTGTATCTGCCGCAAATACAATTGTTTTTATATGACGTTCAACCAAGTGTTAAATGACGAAATAACATCCTAATGAAGAAATGCGTACAAATGTTTTCCTTTCAAAAATTTG